GCTCGCTTCCAGTGCGTTTGTCTGAGTCACAGGGGATGTTTAATTTGGGTCAAATTTGTCAAAATTCCGAAGCAAAAATTTGGAAGCCAACTTACCGTCTTCAACCCGTGCTCTGTTCTCTGATAAAGCACGCTGTTTCAGCCAATCAGAGCGCGCGTTATATGGAAACTTTATTATAATTATCAATAACTGACATATTTTTCTCATTTAGTTTCCAATGAATTGTAAAAGCGCTATTGATCAGCGCATGTAGCGCTTTAAAAATTATTAAATTATTATTATCATTAATTATTATCATTATTACTATTAGTATTACTATTATTATATTATCAATCAGTATCTTTTAAAAAAAGTTGTGTTTTTTAGAAACCTTGTTTTTTTTTGCTTTCTGTAGGTATAAGGAAAAGTCTGCGAATGAGGTGCATTCGTTTTTACCGAGGAAACATTTCTTTGGTGGAAGACTTCTACTGCAAAGGTGCAACGAAACCAAGACAGGAAGAAAGAGTGTGTAACGTGCATCAGTGTCCAATATGGTGAGTGCTAATAACAGAAAAAAGCAAAACACCTCAGGATAGAATGCCTCATGTTTCGAAAAGCAATTTGAAAAATCTGCAAACAGATTTTTACCAGTTTGACGCAAACAACATGAAGTGCATTTACAACTGAGTTTCAAACCTCTACAATTGATTTTTCACGGCGTGAGTTAATAATAGCATTTCATATGACAACTTTTGGCAGTAGCGCTTATCCCTTCCTATGTTTTTGACAGGAGTAATTTCCGCAAAAGTTATCTGAAAGGGTGGTTTATTTACATTTACATCAAAAGTAATTTGGGGACTTCCGAAATTTAATTAAAAAGAAGGATTAAGGTAATATTACGACACAATAGCAGTGTAGGTTTGCAAAATTTCCGCTTGCAATCAAATCTAAGCCCGTTCACAGTTTTGCTGATTTCTGAAAAAAAAATCGATCTAGTAACTGAAAATAAATTGAAAATATGTGCCATCGGAAGAAATTATTAATTTTTAGTAGAAAGTAGAATGCCCTTATTCGGAGATTTGTAATCTTATTAAGAATCTATGATGCATTGAATAATTTACGCACACCTCAAGATCACTTAAAAAGATGTTACTAGTACACCATTATCTTTCAGCGGAAGGGTTAGGTTTGCTGCTAGGTAAAGTTTCCGCCTCTCTTTTAATGGGAAAAAAATTGGAGCTTATATCGGTAACCGCTTCGTTAACACGTGAATGTAGTAAAGGCAACTCCGCAAAATCGTTTTACAAGAAAGAAACGTCGCATCCATTGCAAACAATTCCAATATTTTCATAGTTCAGGCAAACAGTCTTTTTTTCTGTCTGTGTTGTTTGTCTCTATCTTAATTTACTTTAATCTGACTGTTGCAGAAGATGTTACAGAGATTGTAATCGACGGGTCGAGTTAAGAACTTTCTGCATTGTACAAAAAATAGAAAAACATGTTTCCTAGTTACCGAACAATTTAAAGGTGCCTTATCTTTATAGAGTTTCACAGAGATTTTGGGTGCTCTTACGCCTGTGTCATGAACTATATCTCAAGTTTTCTATTAAATATTTTTATCTTTATTTTGTATGCCGAACGAAGGGAAGCTCTTTTTTAAATGTATAAATTTGTTAATATATCTTGCACTTTCCCCTGTTGTGCTATGAACATACAGCATCCGGTCTGAATATGTTTTCAACCGATTTCAAGGAGGTTTTTTCACCTAGTGCTGAGTCTCTTTAATTTCCTGTAGAGCAGTTATGGTTCTTGCAGATTTTACTGGTTTTTAAAGCAAGAAATTGCTCATACGTTCAACTGGAAAATAGCTTATGAAAGCTTATATTCTTTTTCGGTCAAAAAGAAGCCATACTTCCATCATGTCATCGATGTGGTTTTGAACATGGCCATGCATTTATGTTTTGAATAATTAACAGACAAAGTAATCTTAAAGTCTAATTGCTTTAAAATTAATTTGCTTTGGACAAATTTTGTTCGTGCGTTAGATGATCTGAAACGGAGGAATAAATGGTTGTGTACAATAAGTTCACGCCTGAAGGAGTCTTTAGGTGAAAAACGTTGCTCGGGTGTCAATTACAAAATCCAGTGGTGTCCAATTAATAAATTTAACTATTTAAACGTTCGCGCAGGCTTTTTTCTTTCAATCTAATTCAACTGCCGCTGCAACCAACACATATTAGGTTTTCCATATACAGTAGATCCTCTCGGAAAATACCCGCAGACTGCACCCAGCTTTTTGGAATACTGGCCAACGTTTTCGCAACAGCGCCATACCAAGGAAAATCGTAAATATACGCGAACTGACGCACTCTTCGCTAGTTTGACAAGCTCTTAGAAAAATATATATCGTCGAAAAACAACACAGGCAGAGACAAGTTGGTGTTTCTCCAGCCAAAGACAACTGCATTTCTATCCAGAGAGTGATCAAAGTCTTATATGACAGCATACAAAAGTAATTGAAATCGAAGAGAAACAAATTTAAAGATTTTCACCTGAAAAGCATTGGTCCTAGTGTATTCCTATATATTAAGACGAATTGGTAACAGCGAATTACAGATCACAGACCTATACCCCATGAATGAGACAACTGATCAAGACAACAAGACAGTCGGGTTTCGCGGCAAAGAGGTAGCAATCGTTCTTCTTATCCGCTCTCGCAAAGAAGTTCCACTATCATTTTCAACTGTTCTGTCAATAGTCATGTTTTTAGTTGTGTTGGGAGTCATTCTGAATGGAGCCATTTGCTTTGTCATGCTTCGTGAAAAGCGCTTCAAGAAAAACACTTCAAACTTCTTCATTTTGCATCTGTCAGTGACGGAACTTGTTATACGCCTTCTTATCGGCCCGATTGTTGTGTATTCGTTGGTTACAACATCAAAAATTGAAAGCATCCAATGCAAATTTCTATCACTGTTTTTCAACACCTTCGGTTCAGCCACATTTATAAGTTTAGCTGCTATAGCGACTGATAGATATCAAAACATCGTCTATCCCATGAAAGCCTTGAAGTCTAGGAGAAAGACTTTTCATCTGGTTTTTATCGTTTGGTTGTACGCTATCATAGTCTCAATTCCCGGTGTAGTGAACATGAGAAGTATATCTATCAGCGAACTTCCAGAAGCTGACGGAATGGATTGTAAAACTTGCTCTAACAAGAGGATTTGCGACATGCCACAAAATGCCATTGGCCAGGTATCCACAACGTCGTATTTTGTATCTGCTTTTCTTATTCCACTGACATTGATTTTTGTGCTATACACAAAGATTGTTATTGTCTTGCACCAAAGACGAAACAATGGGATGATGCATAAAGTGGCGGCAAGATCAAAGTCCAAAGCAGTCCGCATGCTTGTCTTAGCGGTAATTGGATATGCTTTGTCGCTAGGACCAGGAGCTCTCCTCGCCATGTTGAGGTCTTATGGAAATCTCAACAATACCTCGTTTTACCAAAAGTTCGCAGTCAGTTGGATTGTCGAAATTGTACAACTCACAAGTTCACTCGGAAATCCTATAATCTATGCATACTATAACGGAGACTTCAGAAAGGAACTTTTGAAGCTGTTTTGCAGAAAAAAAAGCGCCTGCTCCTTCTGTGAGTTTACAAAGTCGTGCAGGTAGTAGCCTTTACGCGGAGAATCGATGAAAAGTATCGTGAAACTTAAAAATAACAAATTGAAGACACGCAGATAGCTTGAGGCCTCAAAGGCGTGACACTGTAGATATTTAGAACGAACTCAAATTTATATAGGAGCGCTGATTGGTTTATAATCGTGTTTCTATTTAATCTGATTGTTTTAGTAGAATTCTAACTGGAATAAACGCAAATAACGGTTTCTAATTATTTTTCTACTCATTATTGAACTTTACGCTTTAACAAAATCGCACTCATTGAATTGTTCTTGGTAAATTTGCAGTTGTTTATGCGCGCGCACCCGTTTTTTCAATAATTTCAAGTTTTTAAAGTCAAGAAACCGCTAATGTTCTTCTTTTAGTCTTCTCAGGAATTTAATTATCTATTTACATCTAAACTTTCTTCCAAAACTTCGGAAAAACGATAAAAACGTCGCATTTTGTGGACGACCGACAGCCACTGCACTCTAATGACTGATAGTATACGAGTAGCTCAGCCAATCAGATTGCGGCATTTGCATTAGTATACTAGTAGAATTCTACTAATAAACAATTAGATTATGAGCTCGAGATTTCTATCGCGTGATAGTCGACGAGGGCGCAGGGAATAATCTGATATAAATCAACCAGTCGTTCAAAACTTTATCTAAATCCTCTTCACAGACACTTCGAAAACGCCAAGAAGTGGCCGTCATTTTGTTAACAAGGGCACATTGCTATGCTACTCATTTTCTATCACAGAATAGATAGTGAGTAGCGTAGCCAATCAGAGAACGGTATCCGTGATAGAACGCTAGTGGATTTATACTAATTAACAATTAGATTATAAGGTCGAGATTTCTATGAGGTGATAGCTGATGAGGCCGAAGTCCGAATCAACTATCACCTCGTAGAAATCGAGAGCGAATAATCTAATTGTTTTAGTAGAATTCTTACCAAAATTTACTTCAAATAACGGTTTCCAATTATTTCTTGACGTATTATTAACCTTTGCCCCTGAAAAAGATCGCTCGGATTGAATTGTCATTTAAAATTGAAGTTGTGTGCGCGCGCATCAGTTTTTTAATAATTTCAACTTTTTAAAAGTCAAGAAACCGTTAATGTCCTTCGTTTAGACTTCGCAGGAATTTAATTATCCATTTGCATCAAAATTTTCCTCCAAAACTTTGGAAAATCGAAAAAAAAAACGTCGCTATTTGCTGGACGACCTCCAACCACTGCACACTAATGGCTGATAGTGTACGATGGCTCAGCCAATCAGATTACAGCATTTGCACTGGTATACTAGTAGAATTCTACTAAAACTCGAAACACGGTACATGTTATCTATTTCTAAAATGGATTCCACGGCATAAAAGTAGGATGTTCACGGTTTGTGAACATAATTAGTACAGCCAGAGAAAAGAAATCATGTATGGGTTATTGACCAAGTGTGAGGTCAAGATGTATGGGTTATTGACCAAGTGTGAGGTCAAGACGGCTAGATATTGGCCAAGTTCTTTTTTTGCGTGTTTATGGACCGAGACGGAGTCGAGGTCCATAAACTCGCTTGGTCAATAAAGGATTTATTATATGGCTTTCAGGGAAATTTTTCTTTTTTCTTACGGGACACGGCGGGCAGTCCCGAGCGGGCTCCATCTTGCCCGCTCGGGTAGCCAATCACAGCGCAGGATTTGATTCATCTTGCCCGCTCACGGAGCTAGCCATATAATAAAGCTGGATATTGGCCAAGTTCTTTTTTTTTTTTTGCGTGTTTATGGACCGAGACGGAGTCGAGGTCCATAAACTCGCAAAAAAAGAACGACGCCAATATCAAGCCATCTTGACCGAACGAGCTTGGTCAATAAAGGATTTATTATATGGCTTTCGGGGACAATTTTCTTGCAGGACATGGCGGGTAGTCCCGAGCGGGCAAGATAGCTCCATCTTGCCCGCTCGGGTAGCCAATCACAGCGCAGGATTTGATTCATCTTACCCGATCCCGTAGCTAGCCATGTAATAAGTCATGTTATAAATCAGTAAGCCATGATATTGCGATATTAGCAAATTATCTGTGAACTTTAGGAAAACTAATTACATGGAAGCTTCAAAACAATAACCGTACAGCTATAAACAAATCAATGTTGATGATCCTATGAATTATACTTGGGGTATTAAAAAGCATTTTAAATGAAACGTGTAATCTTTTAAATCGAAACACAGAATTGCATGGGAATCAAGTAAGAGGCGGACATAAAGTAAATTGTGCGTAGCACTGAGGATAATTTCAACAAGACTGTGACTGTAGAGTTTACGTAACACTGAGTTGTTCTCTTGTAAATCTGTGTCAATGTGGCGGGAACTTATAAACTTGGGAAGGTCAGCAACAGCAACATGTGCATTTGAATATTTAGGAATTTTATGAATATTCAACATTTAACTGACATTTATCACCATATTTGACAAAAGTTCAACATCTCTGCTATACATTAACTGTATATACTCCAATAAGCTGCTTCCCTACAATACGGTTTCATAAGTTAGGGTAATGTCTGCATAATATTGTTTTAGCTCATTTTAGAGAAACCTCGAATCCATATTCATGCTATTCCTGCTATTCTGAAAAGTTGTTTACTTCATGTTTTGCAAATCAACTGAACACATTATTAAAAATAAATGATTATCACTAAGTTGGATTTCAGTTCTAAAGCAGCTGGCAGCTGTTATATTGTAATAAGATCTGGTAATGAAAGCATAGAAGTACGAGTAATTGATCAAAATGTTGCGATAGGCTAACAGAGATAATAATACCTTACATTTAAGTCCCCTGTGAACTCCGGATTGACTTAACGAGTGTACTCTTGAGGCACTTGGAACTCGCACCCATCATGATTGCTAGGCCTGAAGTTAAAGAAACTGAGTTTTAGTAATAAGGAATCCTTTCGGAATCATTTTAAATCATACCCAGTAAGGTTGTATTCATAATTTATCAGTAGATAGTGCATTATAAATTTAAATTTGTCGTTATTAAATCTATTAGATTAGGAATAATGTGTTATCCTAAGTTCGAAACCCCTATGAATTGTTTTTCATTTGAAAAAAATTGTCATTGTGAAAGAGTCACGGCGCTCTAAAAATCTCTTGGAAATTTCACACTGATATGGCAATTCGAACTTTTCAGTGCAAAGCTACGAAGGAAAGGCAAAAAATTGAGCGAGTCATAAACAATCTGCAAAGGGTTTGATCGTGACGATTGCAAAGCAGAAAGCATATTTCCTTAATATATATTGTTGAAGTGATTTAAAATATTAATATGTTTAAGTTTAAAGCAGCAAACAAGCAAAGCAATCTAACTGCTAAAAAATTAATTTACTTTCAGGCGTGTTATAGATAATCAAATTCTTGGGAATAAATGGGTGTGCATAAAGAAAATACACGCTGTGTTTTAATAAGTTCACACCTGAAGGAGGTTTAAAATAACAACACCCTTTGTTCGGCTGCCAGTAGGCTGTTGTCCAAATAAATAGATATCCATAAGGAAAGCCCACTTTAAAGTAGTACTTATAAGATCACGCCGACGTTTTTTTATCATTAAATTCAGTTCATCTGCCATTGAAGTGGTCGTCTCAGGTTTCATAGCACACCCTATCTGAAAATGCTCTCGCGCTTCACTCAGCTGAAATAATGGTGAAAGTCTTCTCAAGAGCGTCACACTAGGGAAAAATATTCGTGCATATTACGCTCTGTGGCTTTTCCTTGTTGTATTTTGGAAAAACAGCAAAGACGAAAACGAGCTAATGAGCCAAGGTATGAACATCTGTTCTGGTTAAGTCTGAAATCGCGTTGGACCGCAGGACGAACCATTTTTGCTGAAGAACAGGACTCAAGTCGTCGGAAGCCTTAACAAAACTAGTTTACTAGTGATTAAGGCAGCTTTGTACGGAACACCACTGAGATTACATATCAAACTCTTCCAATTATGGAACCAATAGATGATCGAAACGTCGAAGACATGAATCCAACAACACAACAAGAAAACTCTATAAGTACAGATAGCAATGGGGTACTTGTTCTTCTTATTCGCTCTCACAAAGAAGCTCAGCTTTCATTTTCAAGCATTCTATCAATAACCATGTTTTTATTTGTGTTTGGAATTGTCACGAATGGAGTTATCTGTTTTGTCATGCTTCGTGGTAAACGCTACAAGAAGAACACCTCAAACTTCTACATTCTACATTTGTCAGTGACAGAACTCGTTTTACGCCTGCTTGTCTTTCCGACTGTTGTCTATTCCTTGATGACAACGTCGGAAATTGAAAGCATCCAATGCAAATTTCTATGTTTGTTTTCCAACACGTTCGCTTCAGCCACATTTATAAGTTTAGCTGCCATAGCAACTGACAGATACCAAAACATCGCGTATCCCATGAAAGCCTTGAAGTCTAGGAGAAAGCCTGCTCATCTGGTTTTTCTCGTTTGGTTATACGCTATAGTTGTAACGATTCCTTCTGTGGTGAGCGTGAAAAGCATTTCCATATACGAGATTCCAGAAGCTCAAGGAATGGACTGTAAAAATTGTACTGACATGGAGATTTGCGATGTGCCACAAAACGCAATGGGTCAGGTTTCCACAACGTCGTATTTTGTCTTCGCTTTTCTTTTTCCACTGATTTTGATTTTTGTGCTGTATACAAAAATTGCTATTGTCTTGCACCAAAGTAGCAGCAATGGGATAATGCACAAAGTGGTGGCTAGATCAAAGTCCAAAGCAGTGCGCATGCTTGTTTTAGCCGTCTTTGGATATGCTTTGTCATTAGGTCCTGGGTCTCTCTTTGTCACGCTAAGGTCTTATGGAAACTTCAACAATACCTCATTTCACAAACTGTTCGCAGTCAGCTGGATGGTCCAAATTCTGACACTCACCAGTTCACTTGGAAATCCGATGATTTATGCATACTATAACGGAGACTTCCGAAAGCAACTTTTAAAACAGTTTTGCAGAAATAACACAAAATTTTCTGCACCTTCGTCAAGTGTGCAAAACCCAAGCAGGTAGTGGTCTTCAAACAGGTGTAAACAAGATTACTCGAGCTATCTTTCTTGAGTTTTCGTTACAATGAAAATGGCATCTCAAAAATATATTGCGGTCCTGTGGCCGGTATAAAACCAACTGTTATATTGTCTTATAAAGTGTAGTAATGAGATGTAGCTGTAAACGTAACAGAAAAATTATCTTACGTTATCTGCGACCTCAAGATTGACCTGAAAAGTTCACTCTTCAACTCTGGATTCTCCTCCTCAAGATAATGGTTCTCCAAACTGGCACTAGTTCGAGGAGGAGTTTGCCGACAATTAGTTGTTGGCTGACCTCTCTGAAGGTCTGGTCACAGTGCTATAACGCATGAGCGCTCGGATATCATCATTTGGTCCGACTCCTGCAGACCGTGCACCTCGTTGAACTAACCGTACTTTGTGAAGGGACTTCATGCCAACGAGCTAACTGTGAAAATGGAGGCTGTTCCCACAGCATTGTACCTGTCGAAGACGGTTACCGTGGTTTCAGTGTTTCATTGCCCATGTCCTTCCTGTCAAATATCGGACTCTCTAGGAAACCAAAACGGTCTACCACCAAGTCACTCCAAGAAGAAGCGGAGGCAGCATTCAATTGAATCTGGCATCATTACTCAGTGCTTCGCGCAACTTAGTTCACATTGTCCATGGTGATTCTCTGATATCCTGCTGCAAAACGGCACGCAGCAGAGACCTCTGAAATCTGCTGCCTGAGACACTCCTTATATCTCTCTATACCATACACTAACCTTCTCCTCCGCAGAGGCCTCTTTCGTGCTGTTCGCAGGCTGACGAGAGGGAAAAACGGAAGCGCCTTCCCACTCCCAATTCAATTTCCCACAGGGAACCTCCGCGGAGGAGGGAGATAAACTACCGTTACAAAACATCAGACAATATCTTGTAGGATTAATATGGAGCAAACGATAGCTGGAAGGAAACAAAGGGGCATTATATTTAGCTACATAAACAAGTTAAAATTCCGTTTGCATTACAAACCATTTGTGTAAACGAAAAACGTTTCCCCATCATGTTTCTTAGCAACGAGGGCGTTTGATTGATTTTGAACGAAATTTTGTACTTCCAGCACCAAAAGAGTGTTTATTTATCAACACAATTGATCGTCTCTATTTAATTAGTGAGCTGTATATTTCTTGTTTTGTTTGAACATGCAAGTATCACCAACAGCTGTTGTTAGGCTAAAATCTCACAAACAAAAGAGCAGAGAACAAGCATTACATGTCCGTTGATGGACAGTAGAGTAATAATTTGAGACAAGTCCGATGCTACATGTAAGAGTGAGTAGTTTATATGTAGATATTATTTAATGTTCTAAGGCTGAGTAATGTTTAATTTAAACTCGTCCACCTTTTCAAAATATATTGTGACACGGAAGGCGCAGAGGACAGGCGTAAAATTTTTCCTTGCCTTCCTTCAAAGTTAATTTGCAAATAATACATTACAGTGTCCTCAGGCTGAAAAATGTTTTAACTGAAGCTTACCACCTATGTCAAATTAAATCAAGACTCACAAGGAGGAGGAGTAAAGGTGAAACATTTATCTGACCTGACCAAAAGCTACTACTACACTCTCGCGAAATATCATTGGCGAAGCCTTCGCCAAAATAACTTCAGTCTTCTATCGACGACAATGCTATCGTTGGGAAACTCGAAAAAGATTGACCCAAATTTGAGGCACAAGAGTGTATTTTAACAGTAGTATTTTACAGAGCCTGTGAACAAGAGACCACAGCTGTCACTGCGCTCATCGAAGGTACTTTCCACAAAAGTGGTCTTCATTTTATTCAAATGGACCGTGCTGATTTACGTTTTTTTTTGTAATTCACAATGCCCAAAGAAGCTTTCACAAACAGGATAAACTCAACTGATACTCGCGGCTCAACACTTTTGCTCATTCGTTCGTACGAGGAAGCACGAATCGCCTTCTCTGTGATTTTGTCGATTAATCTGCTCGTTATCTTGTTGGGCATAGTCGTCAATGCGGCCATATGTTATGTTATGCTGCGTGGAAAACGCTATAAAAGAAACAGTTCAAATTTCTTCATTACGCATTTGTCCATCGTGGAGCTGGTATATCGCCTCCTTGTCTTCCCTTTAATTGTCTACTTCGCAGTTCCGGCATCAGGAATCAACATGTACCAGTGTAAAGCCATATCATTTTTCACAAAGACCTCCGCCTCAGCCATATTTGTCAGTCTGGTTGTCATAGCTATCGATAGGTATCAAAACATTGTCCACCCTTTGAAGAGTTTGAAGTCAAAGAGAAAGCCTTTCTTCCTTGTTTGCCTCTGTTGGGCGTATGCTACCACTGTGTCGTGTCCTTCTGTTGTCAGCGTGGATAGCATTTCTGTTCTAGACATTCCCGAAGCTCGAGGTATGGTCTGCGAAAATTGTACTGACAAGAAACTTTGTGATATTCCACAAAATCTACTGGGGCAGTCTTCAACCACGTTGTATTTTCTTCTTGCATTTCTCGTTCCATTGGCCACCATTTTTGCGTTGTACGCCAAAGTAGCCATCTTCTTGTATCACAGAGGTAACAGTGGAATGATGAACCCAGTGGTGGTAAAATCGAAATCTAAAGCGGTGCGCATGCTTCTTATCACTGTATTTGGATATACCCTGTCCCTAGGCCCCGCTGCCGTTCTCGCCATGTTGAGATCTTATGGCACTCTCAACAGTAAATCCTTCGACGCCATGTTATTAGTGAGCTGGATGGTCGACTTTGCCACATACACAAGCTCACTGGTAAATCCATTAATTTACGCATATTATAACGGAGATTTTAAGCAGGAAATTAACCGTTTGTTTTGTAAAAGAAGGGTAGATTCACAAAATCGAACTGAAATATTAAATTTAAATTTGGCAAGATCCCTTACTACCTAGATGATTGATGCTAAACTGGAAAACCAGCCTGACAGACTCCATGAGAAGGTGAAATTAAATATGTATCACGCTCAGTAGAATAACATTCTCCGGCGAGACCTCCACCGCTTTCGATAGCTTTCACTGACGTTGAATATCAGCATACACATGTAAGAGGAGGAGAAGTATTTTACATTGTGTGTGTTTCCCGATGGTGACGTGCTGAGGCGCATATTCCACGCCAAAGAACTGATATTGGTAAGTCAGAAATCAGCACAGACAGGCAATTTCGATGCTTTACGAAACTTGACCTGTCACAGATTTGAAACGCAGAGATAAATCACAATTTATCTGTGAAAAAGTGTTATTTATAGAGAGAGCTGCCGTACATATAACTTGAGGATTGAATGGTGATGAAGAGGTAGAACAGCAGTGAGAAACCAAGTAAAACAGCAGGAACGAACTCTGACGGAATGAACAATTCTTTGAGGCATGAACTGTTAACTGTTACAAGGAGAAATGAGTGTTTTATTTTGAATTAGTTTATAAGAAACATCGTATCCACTGATAGAAAATTTCTAGCGCCGAGCAAGTTCCTCTTATTAGATCTGTAATGTACATAACAAAGGTCGTCAAGAATTCTATTGGTAAAATGCAAGGTAATAAAATGATCAAACCCAAATTAAAGGAGCTCTGGTTATTTCTTGAAACTGAAATGTATGAAAGAAATGTTCCCTCAGTTTGCAGAGTCAATAATTTTGCACTTACAAAATCTCTTGAAGAAATGTGAGAATGGCACCTGAATGCCAACCACAATTGAAGTATAAACTTGTACTATGAATCTGTTGAAAATTAATTTGGGCCTAACAGGTTTTTTTTTTTGACGGACGTACATGAAAATCAGACAATTCCTTTTCGTATTATGAAAGGAACCAAAGTGAAAGAAAATCCACAAATAGGCAGATAAGTCAAGAATCATGTGTTTATGCACGGGTTTTTTCGTCTCACAAAAGCCTACACGGAATGCCTTTTTTTTGTTGTTTTCTGCTTTTTAATATTTTGAAACTTTATCAAGACTATTTGGCTTTCTCACTTAATTGCCGTATTATGAAAGAACAGAAAGAGAAAGATCTAAACAAGAAAACGCGCAGACCATGTTACTAATCATTCTATCAATCAATATCCATAACTTTAATTTTCATAAGGAATCTTCTTGAACAGTAACCTGTCTTCGAATGACTTGAACTTCGGTCACCATCTTAAATGCATACAGCATATTTGTACCCCGAGGACATCACAGGCTGTACGTTTGTGCATCCTAGCCAATTTTATGCCTACGCATGTTCCTACCTTATCTGCGTCAGCGCGATGCCTGTTATTTGTTTGATACAATTTCTGGTCCTCGCGGAAAGCAAAATGTCAATAATTGTTTTCTATATTTGTATTCCCAGCTTCATATGATAAAGAGTGATTGCTTATCATCAGAGTTTGACTGACGCTTATTATAATTTCGTAGAATCAGACATCAAAACGTGCAGATAACCACAAGTTTACAATCAATTCTCCCATAAAACATTCTCTCTCTCTCCAATAACTTCTCAATTTGCGTTTTAACGATTGCCACGTGTCCGTAAATCGTATTCTCAGTTTTCAAAGGGATGGGGGATAGCATCAACAGTGTAATTTTTTTTTTTTTTTTTATCTCAGAGAAGAGTATTCTCATTCGAATTTGATGTAGATTATGTCTCACACGTGAGTTGTCTAGCATGCGCACTACTTGGAAATGCAACCTTATCCCAAATACAAAGTTAATCCTTTGCAAAAGCATGGCTGTTTATTTAACCAAATAGCGTCCCCTGGTAGACTAGATAGATAGATAGATAATCTTTATTTATCCACGGTACAAAATTCGTCAGCTTTTAAAAATATCTATGAAAATACAAATACTGATATAATGAGAAATATTTAAATAAAAAGCTGCTTTCCACGAATGCCGTGCCTTACAGTTCTTCTTTGAGTAGTCGTTTGAATTGCCCAAGGGACTCTGCTTCCCTTAAGTTGTAAGGAAGACTGTTCCAGAGAATGGCGCCACTATAGCTAAAGCTATCTTTGTAATAGTCTGTGCGCGGTAATGGAACATTGAGTTTATTCACAGAGTCCCTTAGGTCATATGCGATTTCTCGCCTTTCAAATTTAGAACTGAGGTGGTCTGGAGCCAACCTGTGCAGAGTTCTGTAAACCATCGAAGCTCTTTGAATTTGCTGCTGGCGTCTACGTCATAGTTTGAGTAGGTCAAAGCACGGGCTGTTCTATTTTGTAGCTTTTGTACCTTATTCCGTAAAGTTATCCCACAGTTTCCCCAGACAATAATGCAATAATCAAAGTGTGGCTGTATCAAAGCTTGGTATATTAGATGTAAGGTCGCCTGAGGGACAAGGTGCCTTATTCGTTTTATGGCCGCAATACCAGAAGGGACTTTCTTAGTTACGTTCTCGATATGGCTACTCCAATCGAGTCTGTCATCGATGGTCACTCCAAGTGATTTTGCGGTAGTGACCTGGCTAACTTGAAAGTCATTAATTGCCAGTGTCGGGAATTCTATGAGAGAACTTAGCCTCTCCCTAGATCCGATAGGCATGAATTCCGTTTTAGTCATATTTAGAGTGAGTTTGTTTACTCTCAGCCAATTGTGAACATGATCCAAAAATGTTCTCTAAAGAGAGGGCGGGATCATAAAAGTAAATTCCCTTTTCATAAAGTAAATTCCCTTTAAAGAGAATACGAATGTTCTTGCATTCTTGTCTCTCTCCGGAGACGTATAACCCGCCAAACAAACGGACATTAGTACACGTCCGGCCTCAAACAAAAAAAAACATGAAGTTTTATGCGCACAGAAATATGAATGGGTCACTTTCGACTATCGGTCTTACAGCTAGAACATCTACTAAGTGGAAATACAGCTTCTTTAACCTCTGACGCGTTCACTTTGGAACAATTCTCTACAGTAGAACATACTCTCTGTATAATCAAGTCTCTTTTGGCCTTTGCAAGCATTAAACGTTTCATTGACCTCAGCTTTTGAAAACCAGAGGACCTTTGCCTTGATAATACCTGCTATCATGTTCTGCGACCTTGTTCAATATTAGCATAGCAAGCAAATGTTACAATTTCCTGAAATTGGTAAGTTAAACAAACCGTCTACCTGCCCACTTCCTAAAATGTAAAAATTTCCAAATCGGGCATTTAATTATCCAACTAAAAAATATATATTCTTTCTGGTAAAATTTAGCCGAAAACTTTTTACACTGTTTTTCTTTAACGAGGTGGACCTCAATACTTCTCTAAAATTCATCCGTATTTCTAAAATAGTATTTAATTAAAAATAGTTTCGAAAAAGTTTGTTTGTAGTGCAATTAATGAAATTTGTCACAGAAATGTTTAAATTCGACTTCTACGCAAACCATGCTTGGTAATTAATACTTAAAAGCAGCGCTGAACAAAAAGCTTTAAATTGCCGGGATGCTTTAGTCTGCCGGTTGGCAACTTGATAATATGGCATCTGCTTGGTAAAAAAGGAAAGGATCTGCAAAAATCTCACAAGCTCTACGATTCAAAGATCACTACTTGCCACCAAACCAAAACAAAAACAACGAAAACGAGGTTATTAACAAAAGGCCCCAAGCACGTAGTTAACGTGATCGTAAGCCCTAAAATGGATTTATTGAAAAACAAGGAAATTTAATATCTGTTCACAATGGTCCAAAACGTAAGCAGCATCAATATCAGCACCTATGCAAACAGTGGCTCGACCTTTTTGCTCATCCTATAAACCTTCTTGTTATAGTGTCGGGAATAATCGTCAATGCGGCCATTTGTTATGTTATGCTGCGTGGAAAACGCTATAAAAGAAACAGTTCAAATTTCTTCATAACGCATTTGTCCGTGGTGGAGCTGGTATATCACCTTCTTGTCTTCCCTTTCATTGTCTACTTTGCAGTTCCACCATCAGAAATTCAAAGTTTCCAGTGCAAAGTTATCACGTTCTTTTCCAAAACCTTCATTTCGGCCATATTTATCAGTTTAGTTGCCATAGCTGCTGACAGATACCAAAACATTGCTCGCCCTTTGAAGACTTTGAGGCAGAAAGAAAGCCTGTTTTACTTGTTTTTGTGGTCTGGTCGTATGCTGCCATTATGTCGGGTCCTTCTGTTTTTAGCGTGTACAGCATTTCAGTTTTGGAAATTCCCGAGGCTCAAGGCTTGGAGGACTGCGAGGATTGCGCCGACAAGAAACTTTGCGACATTCCGCAAAATTCTCTTGGTCAGAGTTCAACCTCTTTCTTTGACCTCGTTGCGTTCGCACTTCCACTGGCCATTATATTTGCGCTGGACACCAAAGTAGCCCTCCTCTTACATCACAGAAGCAACGGTGGAATGATGCACAAAATGGCGGCAAGATCAGAATCCAAAGCGGTGCGCATGCTCGTTATCACTGTATTTGGATATACCCTGTCCCTAGGCCCCGCTGCTGTTCTCGCCATGTTGAGGTCTTATGGCGCTCTCAAAAATTCATCGTTTGACGTTATGTTTCTGGTTAATTGGATGGCAGATCTTGCTATATACACAAGTTCCTTGGCCAACCCTTTGATTTATGCATACTATAATGGAGACTTCCGAAAGGAGATCGTCCGTTTCTTTCGTAGGAGAAGTGATAGAAAAGTAGGACCATCCACGGTTACATTCATAAGCTCAAGCACAAATACATTTGAAGGCTTAGATGCCATTGCTACCGACAGATATCATAACATCATCTACCCAATGAAAGCCTTGAACTGAGAAACATTCCCGCCATTCCGTTTTTCTGGTTTGGTACAGAAGTATCAATCCCCGCTTTCGTAAACACGAAAAGTATATCTACCTACGACATTTTAGATGCTCAAGGAATGGACTGCAAAAATTGTCGTGCATGAGAATTTGTGATATGCCACAAAACAAAGTGATTCAAGTTTCAACAACTATCTACATTGTATATGCGTTTCTCGTTCCGCCGATCGTAATTTTTGTGCTTAACATGAAGATTGCTATTTTCTTGCATCAAAGAAGCAGCAGTGGGAGATGCACAAGGTGGCGGCCAGACAGAACAACAGAGGATCCTCTCTTGAACATAATAATTGATTTCATCAGGCGTTAATGTAATCTTCGGCTAAAGTTCCGGCCAAACCATCCCTCTAAAACTACACTTTTAACCTTAATTACACTGTCATCCCAGAATCCCACAAAGACGTCGAACTATCATTGGTTAATGCTGCAACTGGCCAATTTTTTTTAAATTTGGCCCTTGTTCTAATTAACATGTAATTTGGACAGTTCCGTGCGCAATGTAATAAAAAAATTAATGCAACTACATTTTATTCCAGCTGCCGCATTACGCTCTGACAGGCAACCTCAACCAATTCTGACAGTCCTTCAACTTCCAATAATTAAATTACTTCAAACCTCCTACAGAATCACGAAATTTAAACTATAAACCCACTGACCTAAGCAAGAGAAGCTGAAATTACTCCAAGGTTCTCTTTAAAAATAAAATTGCCCCCATGAAAAATTTGCTCAATTGGGGGGCTGGACACCAGAAAACCTTAAATTTAATAAGTGCCAGGGTGCCCAGTCGAGAAAGTTAGTCAGTTTGGCTGCTATTGTGAATTTAAAACTGTAAAGTAAACTTTAATAACGCGATCTTTGCAACTAAATAAATAGCGTTAATATTTATTCGTTAGAGCATGGATTATCATAAACGACTTTTATCAGACGAAATGTGGATAGAGAAGTGTATTCTCATTTGTCCATAGCGCTAGTTCTGGATCCCTTGATCTTATCCCGCAAATTGTTTGGTTATCGGCAAAATGTCTTGTACGCATCGAGGCATTTTGAATTACTTTTTTGGGTAATTTATTTAAGCATCCGTGATCGCAATGACGGCCTTTTAATTAAAAGCATGACTGAAATAATATATATGCTAAAGAGTAAGATAAGACAGACCTGAAGTTCAGTTATAATTCGCCAGTTTATTCTGAGTTTACTTCTAAAGCAAGCTTAACCTGGCAAATCTAAACTTGAAACGAGCAGTTATACCTAACTCTGTCGTGTTCAACTGCATTGATTTTTTTTTTAATTCAAATAACAGTCAGTGTTGCTTACAAAACAGATTAGATGCCATTAGCATATGAAATAACTGTCTTTTAAAAACTGTAAAATAAAGCTGTGAAATAAAAGGCTTCTAACAAAAACTTGTTTTTTGAATATAGTTTTCTAGGTAATTAAGTTCCACTTTTTAACATTAATATATTTCTAACTTATTAGGTGTTCAAACGTAAATTCTCGCAAAATGTCCCTAACCTGAATCGAGAAGGAAAACACAAAGATTTCAGTTATTCGCTGTATAATAAGGCAACTGCTGCTCTTAAATGACTCTTTACGGAGAAGCGTGAAAAACGTGCCACATCGCAGTCTGTGGGAGTCACCAACGCAAAATTCAATTCAAAATTCCCTACCAAGTAACTCTCGATGTTTTTTTTATTGCCAATTTAGTTCCAGCAATTATTACTACTCTGTCTGATTTCGAATGTTCAGATCTATACTTGAAGTGTGTAGATACGTACAAAATGGCTATAATACAGTCATGTTCCGAACAGCACAGCCCATCGTGTTTGGGGATTGTTGACTTGCCAAATTTTGTTTATTATCAGTTTTGTTTTTCAATTTACTGCGTAAACCTTTTAATAGCTTTTTTAATAGCATTTATTAGACTTGCTAATAGTGTTTGCTCTTCTGATGTGCAACGAACAAAAAAACAACTAAATTCAGATTTCAACCCACAAGCACGATAATCCATAGCCAAGTGAAGAGCTTGTGTGCGGTCAATCAGTGCCAGTGAAGAAGATACCGAAAGGCTTAAACTTACACCACAAGAGGATTGAACGATTTTTCTGAAAAGCTGGCAAGCATCTTCATTTTGGGAAGCTAAATGGCTCTACAATAAACAGAGAACTAGTCATACAAGAAATCGATAGCGTTTCAGTGATTATTCACAATGGGCGATGAGGAGCCACCAAGCACTAATGCGAGCCACAAATTTTCCGGCGGTGGCTCAACAATATTGCTTATTCGATCATACAAAGAAGCGAGGCATGTTTTCGCTATCAGTCTATCTGTAAACCTGCTCATTATCGTGTTGGGAGTAATCGTCAATGCGACCATTTGTTATGTTATGCTGCGTGGAAAACGCTACAAAAGAAACAGCTCAAATTTCTTCATTACGCATTTGTCCATGGTGGAGCTGGTATATCGCCTTCTTGTCTTCCCTTTAACCATCTACTTTGCAGTTCCAGCATCAGGAATCAACACGTTCCAGTGCAGAGTTACAGCGTTCCTTTCAAAGACCTCCGCCTCGGCCATATTCGTCAGCCTGGTTGCCATAGCTACCGACAGATATCAAAGCATTGTTCACCCTTTGAAGGCGTTGAAGTCAAAGGAAAAGCCTCGTTTGCTTCTTTGGCTTGTTTGGTTGTATGCTGTCATTGTGTCAAGTCCTTCCATTATAAGCGTCAAAGGTGTTTCAGTTTTGGAAATTCCAGAAGCTAAAGGCATGGACTGCGAGGACTGTGCTAACAAGAAACTTTGCGACATTCCACAAAACTCGCTGGGGCAGTCTTCAACCACGTTGTATTTTCTTCTTGCATTTATCGCTCCATTAACCATCATATCTGTGTTGTACGCCAAGGTCGCCATCTTCTTGCGTCACAGAGGCAACAGTGGAATGATGAACCAAGTGGCGGCAAAATCGAAATCTAAAGCAGTGCGCATGCTCATTGTAACGGTATTTGGCTATGTCCTGTCTCTGGGGCCAGCTGTGGTTTTTGCCATGGTGAGATCGTACGGTGCTTTAAACAAGACTTCGTTTGGCGTTATGCTGCTGGTTAGTGGCATGGTCGACTTTGCATCATATACAAGCTCACTGGGAAATCCGTTAATCTATGCGTATTACAACGGAGATTTCCGCAAGGAACTCCAACGCATTTTTCGCAGAAGAAACCGACAAAAAGTGAATTCGCACACGGTCACGTTCGCAATTTCAAACGCAAGTAAATAATTAGTTTACCCCCTGAAACACGCAAATGTTTTTAATGTAAGCTGTCAATCAAGCCTGGTGAGTTCCAACCGAGGAATGGAGGATAAAGCGGAAAAAAAGACGTTGTGTTTTGTATGTATACCAATTTTCACACTGCACTTAAATCAAACACTGTGATTTTAATGGTTATATTGGTGCTGAAAAATTAACGATAACCCCATTAAAAAAGAACACATCTTTAGATCTGCAGAAGTCGAGCAAGCTTTGAAAATAGTTATTTCTGACCTAAAACCAAAAACAAATTTCTTGAAAAATAAAAAAGCGCAGTTAACGGCTTTTTTATTTGTTAACTCAGAACTTCAGCTGGGCAAATATGAGAAAATCATCATGAATATATTATGAAAATATAATGAACTCGCTGGTAATTTTAGCATGCTACATGTAATTACGGTTTTTAAGACCTACAACAGGGACAAATGTATCAATTAGATCTACTATGTCCGAACAACCCAACAGTGGCGGGTAATGAGGCTGTTGATCACTGAATACGAAGAACAGCTAGCATAGCTTAAAGTAGTTAGTTGGCCTTGGTCAATAATGTCAAACTAGCAATAATTGGTTGATGACGAACATGGGCAAGATAAGAGAACGTACTTCAAGTACACTAAAGTGATGTTTTGCCAGTGTTGATAAATAAAGGACATCTGAAAAACTGTTCTAGAAACAGCTAAAATTATCAACTGAGCAAGAATAGTTTACGTGTTCACTATAATAAGAAACTAAACCTATTGTGATTATTTGCATTTTTGAATCTACGGCCGGAGGGCCGTAGATTCTATGTCACCGAGCGTGTCCGTTAACAAAAATCGTGTAACAAAAGAATATTCGTACTTAATCAAACTTCGCATGTGCGAAGATCGCTTCCCGATTAGTGCCCGAATGACCGACTGTACGATTGAAAGGAACAAAATATGTGAAGAATAGTCACGATTGATTTGTCGGTAGGCTTTCGGTTAGTCAAACCTGTCAATGTTCGTAAGAAGGAGTTGGTTGTCAAAACGGAGAAAAAAAATGCGAATTTACTAGCAGAAGCACAGCGTTACGGAGCACTATCAATGACTACGATCTCTAACCGCTGACCGGGAGTATGACATTGCAGACTCGTTTTCCCACGCTCTTCGAAGTGACGCGAATTGGGGGGTAGACAAAGTTTTCTATTTTTTTTTTTTTCTGATATAACCAGGCACAGCTATCAGCGAATGTGCCAAAACATTGTTCTCGAATGATCTTGCAAGGTTTTGATTGGAAATACGATTGTTACGTGTCTTCAAAGCAGCTATCGAGCAAATAAAATGCACATTTGCAAATTGGTGTTTATTTCATGTCTTCATACAACCCGGAACTCAAGGTAATGTTTGTTTTATTATAAATATTTCTTTCAGCTACAGGCAGGATCGATTCTAAAACGCTCTGCTGACAAAAAGCATTTTGAACCAGGTCGATACAAAGATCGTTCACATAAATTCTTCATACGGAAATTCTGGATTCTTTCAAGATTAAATACCGACAGATTAGGAAGGTTTGCTTTACATATATACATAAGAGTAAGTTCCGTGTCGTCTGTTCACCATCGTTTAAGTTTAACTGGATAATATTTCTATACTATCTTAAAGGGATGTCATTGGTTTTATGAAAAGCTTTTATGAAGCTAGAGCTATTGACGTCGCCGTCCTATACGAAAATTACACAACTTAAAGCATTTTGTCTTTGGCGACACGGCACGCGAAAGTTTATTTCCCGCGTCCATTGCCGTTCCCGTCTTGGCCTTCCCGTCCTTGCATGGTATAAAGGTCCCTAATGTTACTTGTGACACAGAGGACATTAATGCCACGCACTCAAACTTTAAACAATATTTCGCAATGTAGAACAGAATCTGCAATCACGCCGATTATATCGATCACTGGGCGACTCAAATGGCACAGAAATCACGAATTCGCCGTTGGCGGTAATTCATTCCTCTCAAGGAAACTCGAATCCCTTTCGAGGGATTATTCAGCCCTTTTAAGGGATAATTCGACCCTTTCAAGGGATTATGCAGTTCTTTCGAGGGAGCATGCATCCCTTTCGAAGGATGATGCAGTCAGAGCACTGCAACGCAGTCAATGGCACCGCGATTACGTGAGAGTTCCTCTTAAGGACATATGACTCTCTTAGCAGAGTGCAAACGAAAAGCTTTAGTTGACGAAATTATGACCATGGAATACACATCCACAGAAGCTATGCCTGGTCATTATGTAACTAGTATTTTTTCTGCAAATACTCGGAGGGAAAGCCAATCTTTCCAGTGTTTACACTTAGGCAAGGTACATGTAAGAGTAAATCTTTCATCTTCAATCGGTAAACTTATCAGTTGCTCCATGTAGGAAAAGAGACAGAGAACTGTGGCTACCAGTTGTGAACTATGAATTGTCAAGCTTGCTCATGAAGAAGAGTCTATTTTTACTCGATTTTGTTTAACAAAATTTGAACAAGAAAAGTGTTGGTCTTCTGGTTGGAATTATAAATGTTATCCAGAATTTTTGTCCGAGTTAAGTTTGATAATAAAAACAACCTCTTGTCAGAAACGAAGTTTTTGTTATCTGGAGACATTGAATTAAACTCAGGTCCTGCAGAGATTCCTAATCCACTTACCTACGGCCGTGGATTCATGCGCTCATCGAGCACCTGTTTTTATTGTGTTGTAAAAATCTTTTGAAGTTATTATAACGATAGTATGACAGGGCGAATATTCTGAGTGGGAACTGAGGTTGTAGTCCCATGTAAAGCACACAGGTGAAATACAAGAAAACAGTGAACAACATTAGCCTTGGCAACACACACAGGTCAATAAGATGTTATGTAGGCCTTCTCTACCACATTCAGTTTGGGCAATAATTGTTCATTCCCAAAACTAACCATTAGGGGCAAACTTCTGTAGATCTCGTAAGCTATCTCCCAAGGCAAACACTTATGTTTTATGCAACGCACGCAAACATACGTTTGCCCAGAATGGATAATTATGAGAGCATGCAGTCAACTTTTAAGTAGCACAGAATGCAAATTCAGTACTAAATTTTCTTTTAAATAATTTTACGTGCTAAAGTTCGTTTTATTCGAGTCTACTCGCATTAATTGATTGGCCGTGGACTCTTTTATAAATGGCATAGCGCAGATATCTTTCTAAAATTATACGCAAATACTAAAAATTTCCCAGTCGTTGTTTTTCTGGTCTGTCTAATAGACCAATTTCGATATATTAAAATTCAGCCTAACACAATAGACCTCAGCACGAGGCTCTGGGGAATAAACCCCACAAACTCTGTAGTTATTCCCCATAGCCTCGTACTGGGGTCTATTGTTTGGCTGAATTTTAATATATCGAAATTGGTCTATTCTACGGGCAGGTGAAAAAAAAAAAGACTTTTTTGACAGTTCACGTTATAAAGAAAACTGCCGGTCTACGGTGCTCAAGACTGCCTCAAGAAACCATAGAACCAATTTCAGTTCTGCAAGTAAGCGAGCTTTGGGCTGACAACAGGATAATTTACATTTGAATGCAAATGGCACAGTCAACACTGGCTTCGCTCTTGCTTAAACTCCTCATCACGGAACTGTAAAATACCGAAGTTATTGGCTTTGTCCTCACTTTTTTTCGTGAGGTTTCTAGGGCGATTTATAGCCATTTAGGTGGTTCTTAGTTCCACTGCTTTGTCCTCTTTATAAATAGATTTGGTCACGGTACCTATACGAGTATGGAACTGGTGCCAAACAGATGCTAGCAAAGAAACTGTACACATTTAAAGAGAATCAGTCGTTTTACCTCAAGAAAAAGAATGACGTACTGTTTTTTTAAAAAAACATGCTCCCACTGCAAGTTGTTGTCTTTCTTCTCAGAGACTTGTAGTTCGGTCGTATCTGTCTGTTTGGTTGCCATAGCTACCGATAGGTACCAACACATTGTGCACCCCTTTAGAGTCTTTAAGATCATGGAGGAAACTTGCTTTTCTTGTATTCCTGATTTGGTTATATGCGGTAATTGTACCATGCCCCGCGTAGTCAGACTCCGGCCGCTTGGTACAAAAAGCCAGGGAAAAGCGAACTTGAGCATGGTATAAAGAACAATGTATCTCGCTTGCACTGACTTTAATTTAATCGCGTTGGAAATCGTAATTACGAATAGTCTTTAGATCCACTGCATGTACATTAATAAACTCAAATTTCCTTCCGCAATCCGATCGTTTTTCAAGATATATATTGAAAATTTTATCATCTAGATACAAGCAGCGCAACTGTTTTCAAATGTTTTAGCTATATACATGTAGGTCTAAGGCACAATAGGGAACCAACCTATCAACGTTCCAGACCTCTGGGGTTACGTCCGATCGTTGTATTTCTTGTTACCAGCCTTATAGGATGTATAAACACTGAGTGGAAACTGCAAAAAAGGAAGAGATAAGCTTATTACTCTAGGAATCTGAAACGAACTTACAGGAATTGTGAAAGTACACATGCATGAACTAATTTTGATACCCTATGGTGGTAAATGGGTCAAATAAGGTTCAGAGCTTTTTCTTTTTAACAATCAGTTAAGAACTGACTTCGTGTAGATATTTTTATAAACTAAATACAAACTGCAGCTGCTAAAGACTATTTTAATGACTTTTACCTCCCGTACCTAGAGAGGAAGAGTTCAACCGAACAGAAATAGCAGTTTAGGTCTTACGATATACAATAAACTTCAATCAACAATGAAAAAACAATGACCACAACATCGTCATTCCTAATACTGTCGTTCAAGTAAATGTATTCTAATACGTTTTCTTGTTTCCAAACCCTTCATGTGAAAATTAGGGGCGCTTTCCATTCGACCAACAATTCTGATTTGAATTTCCGGAAATTTCCATTCCATGATTTCTAGTTTGAAAAAGCGCTGCCACATAATGAAACTTAAATCAAATAACTCTTGAAAACACATGAACGGCGATGAAAGTTCATCTCTTGCAGGTGGGAAGTATCGCCATGGAAACCGTGTTCCAAGACCTGCGGGCCTGGTCTACAGTATCGTTCGGTTACTTGTATGCATCAAACTAGAAATGGCACCACTGAAGAGAGCTCTAGCCATTTGTGCCCCAGCGACAAACCTTCAGGGGTTCAAAATTGCATCAAGAAAGCGTGCCACCTAAATTGGATGGCTGGTCCATGGTCTCAAGTGAGTCAGTACCTATTTAAAACCCAAAAATGCATCTTTTTGCGTTGTTCTTTTGATTATTGTCTTCTGTGTTAGATTTCTTCAAAGAAAAAACAGCGAGCATTACAGTATCAAAAGAAGAAATTACTATATAATGCCATTTGCGAGTAAGGCAATTGCGAATGCCAAGTTCCTTAGCCGTAGGCACCGAATGGAGTCAAAGATGGCTTTCTCTTTTCCTTTGAGTGCCACGATTGTCCATACATGTACAATGTGCGATGATTGCCATTCCGCGACAATAGATCTTAACCTATAAAAAACGTTAAAGGCCGCCGTCATTCAAATTGCATACATTTTTTTTGTTACCAAAATTATCTCCTCTTAAATACAGTCATACTGTTTGAAAATTGCACTTCGATTTGTTTTATGACAGCAATCTTTTGCTTTAAAATGATGTGTTGTGCGACACTTCAAAATTATTTTCTTTGTTAAGTTTAAAACCAGGCACCGCGGGGAATCAAACACTGATTGGCTGCAAGTGAGGTCATCAAAGAATTCACCGAGTCAACCTAAGACAGCCTTGAATTCTAAATCCAGCCTAAGTGCTGCAGTTGGTGCATGTGGTTTCTGCATGAGACCTCTGTCCTTCTGAACTCGCCATGACACATCATGATGTCAAATGTTACATAAATACATTTGTTTTTTTATCTCTCAGTGCCACGCTCTGTGTGGTGTTGGCTACCGTTTGAGGAATGTCCGCTGCCCAGTTGAGGGAAACTGTGAACACAGAAGAAAACCCCCCACACGAAAATCCTGTTTTAAAGGATCGTGCTATGACTGGAGTGCTGGGACCTGGGGGAGTGTGAGTTAAAATCTGTTTCATCTGTACCTTCAGTTCAATAATAGTGAGATAATCTGCACGCATATAATGTGGTATTGTACCACATAAATTAAATTATCTTCTCTTTAGTGTTCTGCTGGATGTGGATTAGGAATGCAAAGACGGTCAGTGACCTGTAAGCATACTCTAACCGGAAAAGCTGGTAATACTTGCAATACAGGCTCAAAACCAGCATCAGCACGTGAGTGTAGGCTCAAGGAATGCAAGAAAATAGGTGGGTGTTGCCTTTAAGTCAACACAGGTTACTTCACACACACTTCATATGGCACACAAACGTCCGAAACAAAAAAATCTCACAAGTTGTCAAGAACTGGAAAATTTAGACCACTTTAAACTCTCCTTGGGCAGAGATCAAGCAATTGATGTTTTGCACGTGCACGTGATGTCGCACGTGCACATGACGTGAAATGCGTGTCACGTGCTCGGTTTGTAAAGTTACACATTACCTTGTTATCAACGTAAGCTTGAAAGAGATAAATAAACCGCCATTCAGGACAGTTTTCCGAGCTCTTCCTTCTTGAAAAACTACTTACAGGATATATAAACAATAGCCTCCATTTGGCGGGAACAAAGATATTTGTTCGCGGACATTATCTATTCTGAGGAGCGAACAAGTTTCCGAGAGCGTAGCTCGAGGAAAACTGTGAACTCGAGGAACAAGTAATGTCCAAGGACAAATATGCGAACATATTTTCGCGCCAAATGGAGGTTATTGTGTTTATTATCCTTCAAATATTTTTTTGCAACAAGCGTGGTTTTGAAAATTGGGGAATACCACTCAGATATTCCCCAGTTTTAGCTGGGAAATATTCAGTCACGAGATGTGTTAAGACCAATCACGCGCACGCGTAAATATTTGATGGATTATAATAATATTGAGGATGATACTCTTTCAAGGATTCTTAAAAGATCCTTTTAAAGATGTTGTAAGAGTCCTTAATTGAAGTATCTGTTACATTGTAAAGATATTTGCAAGGTTCCTCCTACTGTAGGTAATCAAAACTCCTCTAAGACCCTGACAAGAAGTTGAAGATCCTTACAGATTCCAGCAAGAATATTAAGGACCTTCAGTTGAGGATCTTGGCAAGAATTTTGAAAGACCTTGTTAGGATCTTCAATTGGATCATTGAAGACCTTTTCGAATATCTTTGAGGATCCTTTGAGAACATAAAAAGGTTTTCACGAGGGTTGCTTTGACAAAAGGCTTATGCTTGAAATGTCTGCTTCACCTCACCCCAGGGAAGGTACCCCCAGAAAACTGATTTGGTGGGGGTGTGCAGCCCGCTTCCCAAAACCCTTACCATATTTAAGACCAAAATCTGTGAGTTTCCCTTCTCTTTTTATGATGTGACCAAAAATTTGATACACCTGACCCTTAAATCAATATGGACCCACTTTCAGCCCTGCCTTATAATTAGTTCCCTAGTTCAGACCAATATTAAAGGCAATAGGTAGAATGGCTTCTTGTGAAAAACATACTCAATTCAAGACTAGAGTGCAAAATCCATAGCCTATTTGAAACCAAAATGGCCAAACTCGATACCTTACATGTACATGTATTTAAGACCAAAATGGTTAAAAAAAACCATATCCTTTGGGACTGGACATACCTTCATCGCCCATATACGGGAATAACCCCCAGGAGCTTCACTAACTCACTTATTACCTTAAGGTACGATTTCATCATTGAATGGATATTTCTGACTGGAGATTAGAGAAAATAAGATAAAATCGTGTGTTTGAATCAGCAAGTGAAATTATGCCATTGCTTCTACTGTCAACCTAAAAGACAACTTTACTTTGAAGTATGCTGTGTAATAAAATGCTTATTACTTACTCCAACAGCTCTAAGAGGACTGAACTCCAGTAAGGGCAAATCTTTGATACTGCCCATAATGTCTCGTGCCTCCCTTACATGTGTGATAGTTTAAATCGATGATTTAGCATGCTAATAAATTATTCTTTTTTATAGCAAACTCGCTATTGTTTTGATTGATTTTGCAGATGTTGTATTAGAGACAGTCTGTAACCAAGACAAGTATAGCAGCAAGCAGTGCAAAGCAGTTGTGAAGTATAATCTCTGCTCCACCAGGGCATGGCTGGATCTTTGTTGTAAAACATGTCAAGATGCTGGTCGCCTATAATATTATAGAAATTTAAATAAAAATAAAGCCAACATGCAGATATCTACTTTAATTTTTCCTTTCATAAAGAAGGAAAAAGTACACATCTGCACGCAGACTATAAAAACAGTGCAACAATTTCAAGTTACTATTACTATAAGCAGCACTATTTAACAACTCAACATCAGTTTATCATGCATCTGTCCTGTTATTAACCATGAACTTTGTCATGACATTGTCCAAGTAGCTGTGGATCCTTGAGGAAATAGCCAAGTGGATCTCCAGACTACTTTGACAATGTTACATATGCTTGCATGTTGAAATTCATTGTCAATAACAGGACAGATGCATGAAAAAGTGATGTCAATTTGTTTTTTACAATAACAAAATAATAATTATTGTCAAATTGTCCTCTCTCACTTCCTGCATCAACATCACATAAATTATAAATTCATGTGTCTGTCCACTTATTGACAATGAAACTTGGCCACTGAGCATGCAATAATTTCTGAGTTATTGTAAAAAGCTAAGTTGTATACAAGTCGTAAATTAAACAAATTAAATATTAGGTATTGAAAACATGTCTCAAGTAAGAAATAAACATTGGTTCTACTCATGGACAGGGCCACCATTTTGTCAGTGCTCACATTTTCTTTCTGGATGGTCCCAGGAGAAAACCAGGTTATTGGTGGGGGGACAGGGGGGTGGGAACCTGGGAGAATAAGGGGCAGGAGGCAGGTGAGGAAAGGGCAGGAAGCAGGAGTTCTAAGAAGGTGGGAATCATTTATTACAGCTGTAAGTGTTAAAATACTTTCAAAAACAAGAACCCAGAATGTTATTTGACTTACATTTAGCTTATTTTGAGACTTCTGGGCCAACAGAAAAACAAAAATTCACCCTTGGGCTAAAAAACGGAGGTTTACTCCCAGTAAAATTGGAAACCCTTTTACAGTGGTTATGTCATAGGTCATGAATGTCACTTAAGCTGTCAAAAGAGGTGAGTAAGAAGAGCAAGGCTTACTACAGAGGAAAAAAGGAAAAGGAGATGCTCAAGGATTGCATAGTTAAATGACGAAGATGTGTTTTGAGTCTTCTTATTTACAGGAGATGGGAGCAAGTTGGACGAAGGGGGAAGTCGGGAGATAAAAGTACAGGACGTGGGAGAGTAGGGTACAGGAAGCAGGAGTTTCTGATCCCCAGGGCTATCCCCACCCCCTTATTGCAGTTATGCTTTCTGGTACAGTCCTTTACCACAGGAGATATGATTTAGCATGCATGTAAATGCCATAAATTGAAAAACACAGCAAGGATGTTTAAAAAACCTGGGTTTCTCTGGGATGATAGTGTGATGTGTAGAAAGTCAGTGCACTGTACCAAGAGGAAGATACATGTACCGTCATGTTCTGTGTTACTGATACATGGTGGGAAAGCACGCATGGTGGGATGTATGTATGTCATGGTGAGAATGACATACATGCAACATTGTTAATTCCCTTTTGGCAACTTAAAATGACGAATCAATTGCAAACTCTTTCATTACCAAGGAAGGTATTAGATTGGTGGGTTGATCCTTCACAAATCCACTACTCTCCCTACCTTCAAGAATGACACACACACCCCAACAATATTAAATGGTTGGTAATAACTTATCAGTTAGTATTCTTTATCTAAGATTCTATGCGTTCATATAAATCGGTTTAAGTGATGAACTTATAAGCTTATGTTGGGTGAAATTATGAGTGAAGGAAGTGTCACGCAATCGCTTTTACGTGGTCATCTTCGACTGTTGTTTTCGTCTAGGAAGAGATATCATGCTGTAACATGTTATTTTATAAATTAATTACCAAGTGTTTACTGTGAGAAGAAGGTAATTGACCAATTCTTCCGGGACAGAGAGGATGAGAATTATTGCATTCGTCTAAGTTAACAAAATTGAAAAAGTGCTCATGTGTGGTATTTAGAGACGTTTCGGGAAAAACCCCTTCATCAGTCGCAAATGAAGCGTTAAACCATGAGATGAGAATTATTCCTAATTGAGCGCTTTTGCTTACCCAAGATGATTTTTATCTGCGATCCATGTTGCCTCTCGAATTCCCTGTAGCGAAGAGTACTGTTTTTGGAGTGTTTACATCACCAGACGATTTTCAAAATGGACGCCAAAATGACAAACTCTTATGCAACCTCGTCCCCGGTGTCTTCTCCTCAACCCAAAAGAAGAGAAGAGCTTGGGCATGGGTACGAGGTTTAGGTTTGAGTTTTTTAAGGTCATTCCACTGAAATAGAACCTGCACTGATATTTTTGTGAAACTTTGCCTATTGATTGTTTATATTATAGGAACTTGAATTTTGAAATAAAAATGAGGGGTCCCCGTGTTCGTATAGGAGCAACAGCACCTTGTTTATACCCGATAAATCCTTGTAATAGCACCATGATTGTAGTCACGACTGCTTGCTAAAGTCACGTTTCCGACGATTGTTTTTTTCTTTTTCTACACTGAAACTTGGTCAATATTTATTTTACACAGAGAAATTTATTATTCAATTCGAAACAACAACAAAAAAAATGATAGCTCACCATACTCGTTAGCGAGAAAATGACGATTTACCTCTATGGCGAGTAGAGGTCCAGCCGTAAACAAAAAGTTTAGAAGCCATTTCATGCCCGGGTTTTATGGGTAGGCAACAGGGTCAGCAATTACAGTGTTTGTGAGGGAATCCGATGGCAAATAAATTTTCTAAAAATCTGAATTCTGAACAATTTATAAATATCAAAGTAAAGATACTCGATAAGGGATTGCATTGGCCAAATTTGAGGGATGTTTCTAATTTTCCATACATTTGTCAATAATTTCTTTCCGCGAACTTGAGCGCGGCTCACAAGTTCGTGCCACTTTGGGAAAAAATCAAAGACAAATGTACTGAAAAGACGCCTGACATAAGTTTGAAAAGGGCTCTTTAAATTCGCTTAGAGTCTTTTGGAGGGAAACAGTAGCTAATGGGAGAGCGTGCTTTCACAGAAAAACTTCCCGCTATATAACAATAATGCCTAAGCTTATGTTTGTCAACGAGTGATCTTAAAAATCGCCGCCAAAAATAACCTTGTCCCGAGGTGAGGACGACGTGGGATGATCGCTGATAAAAAGCAATAAAAGCTTAGTAAAAAAGACAAACAATCTCTGTTAGTACAGTGCACCCCAAGCTATTTATGCCCGCAAATTCTCCAGACCATACAAAGAGGAATCACTACCATAGTACGAGATCATTTTGTTCGGTCCCTCGTGTAGTCTTTGTAATTTAACCCATCTCACGTACACATGCAAGATCTGTTATTTGGCCAATCAAGGGACGTTATTTGCTAGCGTGCGAATGGCTGAAAGACCCTGAAAGACTCAAAACGATTTAGCTGAGGTCAGACACTCCTTCTGGCCCTTCTGGTAAACGGAAAACCAACCAAGTGAAAACCTCTATTCAGGATGTCAACTGCAATTTAATTCACCTCTGGTATATCGCACTCTTTCTATTTATGGACAATCACATTTATTAATTACAAAAACCTACATTATGCTGTCATTTAGAGCTATCCAAAATCCGAAGGACGGAATAACTTTCACCAAAGAATGTAAACAGCTTACAACTCCTCCGTTATTCGACGTCAAATACACAGGGAGTGGTGTCCCAGTCTCCGAGCCAGAGGCTCATAATATAGGTGTTTGACAAGCTAAAAACCAAGAACTACGCAGGCTAAAAGCTTAGGAAAGGTAGCTTAAAACGATAATCTAAGAATCTGTTAGGAACTAGGAGAGAGAGCTCTTTAAGAGTTGGGAAGTCAGGGTGGCCGTAACGAAACCGTATAAATTGGTTGACTCTGCAAACATGCAACTATATTCGAATCAGCCGTCCCGGGTCCATTAACCGTTCCCTTGTTAATGAAAGCACCACCCTATTGTCAATAAATACCCCTGCTCCAATAAGCCCCACCCATTACGAAAATGGCACTCCCGACATTGACACAGCATAGACTGATAAGAGGGGTGATTTGCCTAGTCTGACCATATCCAACACACGAATGGTGTTAAAACTATGCACTGTTCTTTAGTCAAATAACCAGTTGTTTTTAGGTTGAAATGCTTTATGTCATTCTGAAGTTTACACTTAAAAAAGAAATAAGCGCCCCTCCCTAATAAGTGACCCCTCTCCAATAAGAGCTATCCCTTAAGCTAAATCGAATCATTACGGCAATATATTCAATTCTATACCAAGGACCTAAATACAAGAACTGAGATGATCTCAAAGGGTCACTTGAATGTGGTACTGGTTCTACTTTCTCCTGAAAGTTAGCTATGTATCATTTACATAATTATAAAAAGCATATTATGCTTTTTTAAAACGAAGGGGTTCTTAAGCAATGCTGTCAATCAGGTAATCACATGTATTGCATGCATTAAAGACTCAACAATACGCCATTTCCGAGTTACCTTGTGCCTCTGTTTCAAAATGAGTCCTCGTGCAAAAACCTCTCACATGAAAATGAGTTCCATTGGTATGAGAATGAACCTGTACGCGGAAAAAATTGTTATATGAATGGTTTTGCGCAAATCAAAAAGCAACTCGGAAATGGCCTATTGCTTCCACTTGTTAAGAAATATATAATGTCGCCGAAGGAAGATGCCGAGACAATCAAGGTTCAAACAAGGCTGTGGTCTACGAGAAATTTCGAGGAGCCAAAAGTTCAGTCCTAATTATGAAATCCTGGGTGCCCAGCACTTAAGCTTATATGAAAAAAAAAAAAAAGCGAGACTTTCCAGTCGCCCAAAGTCAAAAATTAGTCGCCTGTGGCACCCGGACGCTTCTAGAACACAGCCCTGTTCAAATGACTCGAGCAGCAAATTAAGCATAATTTTTGTACCAGTTTGCGCTTATCAACAGCCTTTTAACTTAAAAATTCAGACAGTAAAAATCTCCTTCTCTCATATACTCCTCACTGTCAGCTGCAATCAACCTTGTAGGAGGTGACGAACTTTGAGTGACCAGGCCTACGCCGTTGCGTGATTGAACGGTCACGTAAACGATGTCACCATCAAACAACGTGCTGATGTTGGTGAAAGACAGACTAACGTTTGTCACCAAGCCAACTTCTTGGAAGAGCAAGACGTCGGTCACGTTCGGTTGTTTTCCAACTGCAACACGAAAGCCGCTTATCTCGGATTCTTCGTCGTGAAAACCATGCCAGTGAGCCCTTAGGGTTTTGTTGAAGAGGTGGCAGCTGGAATGTATGCCAAAGACGTCATGCGTACGGTCTTCACTCACAATTACCGAGCCCTAAAAAATGACAAGAGAAAGTGAAGGGATGAGAGGATGCGAGCTTCACAGTGGTGGGTTCTATAAGGGTACAAAAGTGATGAATTCTCTTCCTTTCTAGATTCAATTACGTAAAGTGTTTAAACAGTGTCCAAATGATTGAATGTACCTTCGAAGGTGGTGTATTGTCAACAATGACTGGAGAAGACACGCTCTCCGTGCTGAGCCCAACATTGTTTTTGCATCTCACCACGGTGTAATAGCTTTGTCCAGGCAGCAACTGTAGTCCTGAGGCCTCCACAGTCGTGCTCAAGCCATTATCTACAAAGTCGGTAACAAAGTCAGTACTGTTTCTTATGGCATAGCTGCACACACCGACACCGCTTTCATGATCCTGGACGCCTGTGATATTTGAAGCCAGGGTACAATTGGTGATGCATGACGTGACGGTGAACTGCGGAACAACATCACCGAGGAAAGGAGCCGTCAGATCGACTTTGGTCCCGTTTGTCGCGATCACTGTAAAAAGGCCAGCACCATTTGTTACTCTTATACTAAGGTAATACGTCCCATAATGACTCAAACGGCAGTCACTACATTTCACGTCCGTTGCGTTTGGGAGTATTTCGCTCATGGATTTAATCTGGCATCCGACAGGCAAAGTTCCAACGCAAAATTCTGTTTTGGATATCCCGCTTTCGAGGTCTTGTGACTTCCACGAGGAATGCAGTAAGTCTGTCGGGCCAATCCAAAGTTTTGAACCAGCCGCGACCTGTCAGGACAAGAACGTGTGAAACTTAGTTTAATCGAAACCGTTTCATTACGCAATTGGTAAAAGAGGCAGACAAAAAAAATCCCAAAACAAATCAAACAATTGTTCATTGGAAAAAGTGACGTTAAATTTACAGATGTTAAAATTAATGACCCCTTCAACATTTTGACAACGTTTTCTGTGCCTTTCCAAAATGTATTAACCATTTTAGGTACTGCATCCTTAAAGGTTACGAAATAGCACACTACATAATACATAGTACGAACCAACTGAATACCTCGAGATTTCAAACCCCTCTGAATACTGTGTTTTCAAGTTTGGTCTCCGTGCTTTTGACACGGAAAGAATCTCTTCACGATCCCTTCACACGTCCGCTGATACTGTAGTATTGTTTGCTAAGAATTGCGTGAGTGGAGAACGATGAATAAAATCACGAAAGTACATGTATAACTTCGGCAGGTCTTTTTTGCAGGGTGCAGGGTACAGGTTGCAGGTTGAAATTTAATTATAACTGGAAAACCGCTCGCACTTAAAAGAGACGTACAGGTGGTAGACTTACCGTGACTGTTACATGACGCTGTTTACAGTCGCTCAGAAAGGTGGCTTCTACTAAGTGCCAAACCGGCCGTAGCGATGGCAGGAGAGTATATTCCTATGATTTTAAGCCTGCAATGAATTATTGTTTTTGAAGAAACATCTGAAATATCATCTGAAATATCTGCTGAATTTGGTTTCTTCACTGTGAGTACCAAAATGAAAGCACACTGAGCTTGTGCTAGTATATTCCGTCGGTTAAAATCTTATATTATTTCATTTCTTTATTTATTTGCTTCATTTG